TTCCTGAGGCGCCCTTCGTCATGACACTCGCTTTTATTTTCTTTGGTTTGATTTTTTTTTTTTTTATAATTTATTTTATTTAGTTCGATTTTTTAATTTTATTTAATTACTATTATTTATTTAGAGCAGGTACATCTGTGTGTGATGCTTTTGCCATTTCAGAGGAAAAAAATAATTGTATTTAATTAATAATTTTGTTTCAATCCACCATAGAATTACGTTGTTTGGTCTATGAAAAAAAATTGTTAGTTGTGAAATGGTTGAGTATTAACAAAATAGTTTTTTAAAAGTTAAAATTATACTTTATCCATTTGTTATGTCAAATGAACAATATAAATTGAATAAAGCTTTAAACAAAATTAATAATAAAAATAAAAAAAAGCTTGAATATTTGATTGAATTGAAAAGCATTTTTAATAGTAGTATACTATCTTTTGTTAATAGGACAAATAATTATTATATTTTATAATATTTGATATATATACAGGTGAAACTCGAAAAATTCGAATATCGTGCAAAAGTTATCATTTTGATGATTATGGCTTACAGATTATGAAAACCCCAAATTTAAAATCTCAGAAAATTAGAATATTACATGAAATCAATACAAAAAAAAGATTTTAAATACAGAAATGTCGGCCCTCTGAAAAGTATAATCATGCATATGTATATAGTTATATACAGAGGCGGCGCCAGGGGGGGTCTTGGGGGGTCTCAAGACCCTCCCAAAAAATGCTTTGACCCCCCATTTGACCCCCCACCCCCTTCCTGATTAAAAAAAATATATATCCGCCGGGATAAATATTTAAAAATGTTTATCTTCAAACTACGCAGAACAATAATAATTAAAAATTTATTCGACATACAAAATATATAAACATAAGAATCACGTTCCCTCTAAGCTGCGCGCGTGCGCGGTCGTGCACTTCTGTTGCCGCGGCCGCGCAGAAAAGAATAATATGCCACGCGGAGGACTGACGCGAAATGTGTGGGGAAATCCATTTGATTGTATGTGAGAAATAATTGCAGTGCTCAAACTGGTGAGTGCAGTTAACAGGTTTCAAAGAAAGAGAATGGTGTGAGCGCGTGTGATTGGCAGTGAGTCGTGTGTGCGGACCAAATATCTCAATACGAGAGGCGACGAGAAACGCAAAGACATGTGAAATAAAATCACAATATCATGTTTTAAAGAAGAGTGGTTTGATTAAAGTGGTGGAAATAACGGATGATGGACACAGAACGGTAACAATTACACACCCACCCGCGTGCAAACTCAAAATACATCATTAGTTTACATAGATTTAAATAGTTTCAGGCATGGTTAGATTAGGCTACTATAAAAGAGTTCACATATTGACTTTTCTTGAAAATATTTAGCTATTAGATCTAGCTATTTACAGTAAATGCTTCAGTTTGTTTTCATATTATAATAATATAATATGAAAACAAATCGAAGCATTTAAACTATCACTTCAAATACTTCAATTCATTTTTTTATATTATATTATATTGGGCATATATTTTATTATATTATAAGCCTAAATAAAGAATCTCACAAGGGTATTGTTTAGGGCTCATTGCCATTAAAAAGTTTGAAACCCCCTGCTAAAAAAAATGTAGGCTAGGAAATTCATAAGCTATAAACAATCATTTAACTTTGATGGTTTAATGCTGCCTGTACAATTAATTGACTGTACAAAAACACTTTATGGTTTTCCTAAACCATCTCAGTGTAACAGCTTAATTTTCTTTTATAATATATTATATTATTGTAAAGAATTGAACTGTCCTGCAGAAGATTTTGTAAATAATTTTTCATAGGATTTCTTAGTAAAGACTGGAAACAGAGGACACCGAGGAATTGGAGGATGAGGAGGATACTATTTTGTAAATATGTTTTCTGTCATGGGTGTGGCTATGTCAATTAAAGTTCGAGCATATTGTTTGCAAACTGCAATTGATTAATTAATTAAAAACAAAAAACCGTCGGTGTGTGAATGGGTGAATGTGAGGCAATATATAAAGCGCTTTGGTGGCCATTGGGTCTGTGAAAGCGCTATATAAATGCAGTCCATTTACCATTTACCATTTGTTAAGTAGCAGCAATATGCAGTTATTAGCCGTGTCCACTGTATTTTTTGTTGGTTTTCATGAGACCCCCCTTGAAATGACCAGGACCCCCCATTGCCCCCCCCAATCAAAATTGTCTGGAGCCGCCACTGGTTATATATACTAAATATATTAGTTTCACCTTTTAATTTGAATTACTGAATTACATGAACTTTTGCACAATATTCAAATTTTTCGAGTTTCACCTGTATATATACACACACAACTATATATATATATATATATATATATATATATATATATATATATATATATATATATACACACATCTTAAACATATCTTTAATTAAATCGTTTAAACAAATATTTATAATAGCATTGTTTTAAACTTTGAAACGTTCTAAATCACAGAAGTAGCGCAATGCCTGGCCACGCCCACTTCCGGCATCAGACGGTTAGGCTGGCGCTGTCATCCTCACACTGCTATGACGTATGGTTCTGCGGTTCTGCAGTCGGACCTATCTCGGGGCCCGAGCAAGGAGGGGGCCCGTGATTGGCTGTGGAGTAGATACTAGCCATCTGATTGCCAAAGCCTTACCACGCAACGCCCCCCACAAATTAGCCCTGTTATTTAGTGGCGCTTTGCCGTATATTCCATGCATTATCATGGAATCATTATCATTAATATTATAGTGACCGTTCGCAAAGACCCGCCTTTTTTAGTTACTGTGTGACAAGCCAGGCGGCTCTCACGAGTCACGCACATCATGTTCTCACTCACGCAGTGAAAAATACATCGCGGGGCAAAGACTAATGGTGTGTTCACACCGAACGCGAATAGAGCGTCAAATACGCGTCTATCGCGTTTAGTTAGACGCTTGAACATTCGCTCGAGTTCAAATTTTTCAACTTGCGCGGAAGACATTCGCGGCAAACGCGTCGCCCAATTCGCGTCATTCGCAACGCCCGGCGCGAATGATGCGTCTATTCGCGTCTTTGCATTGACTTTGTATGTAATCTACTCGCCCAAATAATTAAATTCGCGTTCGGTGTGAACACACCATAACGTTACACCGAGTGACTACGAGAGAGAGAGTTCAGAGCAGCTTACTGTTGATATGAAACAAAGTCTCAACTTTCAAAAATTGTCATTTAAACAATATCGTTTTCAAGTTCAAGACCACCGACGTTAATCTACTGACAGCTTTGTTGTCGGACAAAATTGCGTATTCGGTGTTATGATTGGCCAATGGCCAGTTCGCCTGTCAATCAAACCCCCGTGGGCAGCAGGGCATGGTGAATTGAAACGTCACGTTTTAATTTGATATAACAAATACGGCCCTGTCCCAAATGGAACCCTAAGCACTCGCGGTCTTCCTCTGAGTCCGCACTTTCGCGACGTAACGCCGCTTTGAATGTCGGGAAGAAGTCTGCTGTGGAGTCCGCATCAGCGCGGGCTCGGCAAAAGTGCGCATCAAGGGCGCAAATAGACCGCAGAGGGGGCGCTCGCGAGCACCCTTCTGAGATCTAAAAATGACAAATGGGACACACTGCGGTCCCACGGACTTAACGGACACGCGCACGCGGCAGCCATTGTAAGTCCACAAGACCGAAAGTGCACATGAAGTGTGCCATTTGGGATTGGGCCTACATTTATTCTATATTTAACTTGTGAACGATCGACCTGCTGCTGCACGTAGGCCTATAGATGGCGGCCTGCGCCTTATTAGAATATACGCATCAACCAATCAATCGCCTCCACTCTTCAGTTCATTCTATTCTTAAAACACATGCGTCATCATCGACTCCACAAATTTTCGGTAAGTTTGATTATTAACTTGATGGATGTATGATGCTTTTTGTGTTTGATCAAACTCTATTTTCGATAATATATCCGGTAGAAATATGTACATTTTCCTGCGCCATCATGATACAAGTTTATAATTTAAACGCGTTTTTAAACATTGTGGTTTGGATACAAATTATTTTAAACTGCTCAGGCACAGTAAGCAGCGGGAGAGAATTCATTTTGGTTTTGAGACCATGGTGAACTTGAGACGGTTTTGCACAGCGCACTTGAGTTCCGACCCTGAGGTCTTAAAGTGACAGAAGCTGCTAATAAAGCTGCTGTCGCCATTTGTGCAATAATGTTAATCAAACATTAGAAATAAAGTTATTTACTGCCCTTGACTGAATCACTTTTGTAAAATTAATAAGAATGAATGTTGAATTTATAGTGAAAACTATGTATTGTTTATTGGATTACTTTATACAATATAATATTATTCAGTGCTTTAAGTTTTTCAAGTAGGTCGATTTCTTATGTGCCTTTGTTCTTTTGTTATTTGTGACTCTTGTCATCAGTAAGCTTGAGATTCTTTTCTTAAGCTACTATTATTTTTTGTGATATTGAAATTGGTCACAAGAATTATGAAATTTGAGTGGCATAAAAATTTGATATGATAAAAAATCGTATTAAAAGTAATATAACTTAACTGTGAAGTATATCATAGATGAATAAAATGACTCGTATAATGAAAGAACATTTAGCTCATGTAGTTGGTGACCTAAAGTGGTGGTGGGGGGCCCTGCAGAGCTCACAGCCCCGGGGCCCAGTGAGCTCTTAATGCGGCCCTGCAGAGAGGAGGAAACATTCAGTGGAGATACAGCTGGATTAGAGATGGAAACCATTATATGAACATTTCAGTTTCACGGCTCATGTTTCTGATCAGTGTTTGTCTGAGATCGTGACGGAGCCAAAGCCTCAAAACACACGAGAAAACATCTCCGGTTACGACTGTAACCTATGACTATAACCTATGACTGTAACATGTTCCCTCAGAACAGGGAATGAGACTGCATCGATTGTTGGGGAACGCAATAATCATTTGTTCTCTATAGTCAGTTTGTGTGTCTGTGTTTCTTCTCAGGTTTACCCACATCTACAGTGACTGTGACACCAGACAGTCCTGTATTCACTGGAGAAACAGTCAATCTGAAGTGTGTGATAAACTCTGATTACAGTGACTGGAGATATGAGTGGTATAAAGACAGTGTAAAGTTACAGACGTCTGGTTATCGTTACACTGTAAACAGAGACACTGTCACTATCAGAGGAGCTACTGAGTCTGATCAGGGTCAGTACTGGTGTAAAGGACAGAGAGATGGAAGACCAAACTCATCAACATTAAGCTCTGCTGTTTCTCTCTCTGTGAAGGGTGAGTTCAACATCATTGTCCTCTAAACTCTTTCATGATCACACATACAATCAAGAGTCTTTGACTCAGATGTTTCGTTCACACTAATAATGCACAAACGCAGCTGTGCTTTAGTCTGACTGACTGAGCGTTACAGTCCATCTCTCTTTTGAAGGTTTAAATCTATTTAATTTTCTCTGTTCTTGTCTTCAAATCCATTTAAAGGAGCAAAACTGAATGAAACTGAATGCAGAGATCTAAAAATGAATTTTATAGCGGAAGTATTTTTAATTAAAGTGTGATCTTACAACAGATAAAGACACATGTGAACACAGACCTGAGAAACAGCTTAAAAAGTGCTGTGTTGATGTACGATAAGTACACCTTAATAAAAAAAATATTTTTGTATATATATATTTTTATAAATATCTTTTTTTACACTTAAAGTTTTTATAAAAATGCAGCTTTGCTTTGATTTTCAGATGACACTGTCATCGTTTTGTCTCTGATTATGAATGTTGAAACTTTGAGAGTTGGATGAAATTAATCTTAATTCTAATGTTTGATTGACAGTTGATAAACTTTCATTAGCTCACCTGAAAATAATAAGACTGACATAATTTAATCTTTCTCATATCGTTCCAAATCTGTATTTTTCTTCTTTAAAACTTTTTTATAATGTGCTGATCGCTATAATAATGAGATGGTAAATTTATAAGTTATAAAAAGGACACAAAAGCACCATCAATGTGTCCTAAAATAAGTCTAATGAGACTATATGACATAAATCATGACTAAGAAGAGTATTTCATTCTCCATCGTCCTGTCCAGAGACACAGTTTAGAAATAAAACACACAGCCTCTGTTTACTGACAGTTTACAGTCATCTCTGATCACTGATGTTCTGCAGGAGAAATATAAAGACTGTCAAAACTCTGAACATTGTGACCAGAAACAGAGACAGAAAGTTCAGACTCCAGTTATTTCACAGCTGACATACAGGATCATTTTACTGAGTTTTTTAACAGAAATCACTTCTCAAACACAAGGGAGCAGGTTAAATAATCACTGCATTTACTAGTAGAAATAAAGTGAGTTTATGGAGAATCTATAAGATCTGAAAGTTCTCAGCAGAATTTGCATGAAACCATTTTGTTGACATAAAATATTGACACATTTGTGTTTCTTCTCAGGTTTACCCACATCTACAGTGACTGTGACACCAGACAGTGCTGTATTCACTGGAGAAACAGTCAATCTGAAGTGTGTGATAAACTCTGATCAAAGTAACTGGAGATATGAGTGGTATAAAGACAGTGTAAAGTTACAGACGTCTGGTTATCGTTACACTGTAAACAGAGACACTGTCACTATCAGAGGAGCTACTGAGTCTGATCAGGGTCAGTACTGGTGTAGAGGACACATAGATGGAAGACCAAACTCATCAACATCAAGATCTGCTGTTTCTCTCTCTGTGAAGGGTGAGTTCAACATCATTGTCCTCTAAACTCTCTCTACTTCATGATCACACATACAATCCAATATATGTGGATCAGGGAAGGGTGGTGGGAGCAGTCTTCCTTGATCTGCGTAAAGCTTTTGATACTGTCAATCACCAGATACTTTATAGTAGGTTGCGTCAATACAATCTCTCTGAGCACACCCAAAAGTGGATAAGATCTTATTTGAGCGACCGACATCAGTGTGTACGAGTGAATAATATCCAATCTGCGTTTAGAGCTACTTCGATGGGAGTGCCGCAAGGGTCTATTTTGGGACCCTTGCTTTTTAGCATCTATATAAATGACCTCCCCAGAGTGTGTTCTGACGTTGATGTAATTATGTACGCTGATGATACGGTGATCTTCACTTTTGGGGAAAACGAGCTGGAGGTTGCTGAAAAATTATCAAAAGAAATGCAGAAAGTTGCAGAATTGCCTGACCTTAAACGTTGATAAAACAGTCTCAATGTTTTTTTCAAATAAACGTAAAATACAACAAAGTCAAGCAATTCAAGTAAATGGACAAAAAATTAAAAATGTAAATGAAACAAAATATTTAGGTTTAGTACTTGACTCAAAGCTTGGTTTTAAAAGTCACATAAAAAAACTATAAATTTTAATTTAATAAATTAAAATTTAATTTGATGAACTATAAACATATTAGAAATTCATTAACTACGGAAGCCTCAAACACATTCCTTAATACTATGATTGTTTCACTTCTTTTGTATTGCATGTCTAGTTGGACTCAGGCGTGTAAAACATCGCTAAAGTTTCTTGAATCATTATACAAAAGGGCTATAAAAATTCATGATAGAAAGTCTCGCTACTACCATCATTGTAAAGTATTAAGTAAATATAACATTTTAAATTTTGAAAACCTTATTAAATATAATCAAATTTCTTCTCTATTTAAAATTATTCATAACATCGCTGCTCCTCCCTTAAGAAAATTTGTGACACTAAATTCGGAGAGAAATTTTAGAACCACACGGTCGACAGTTAGAGGAGAGTGCAGCGTTCCAAGATGCAGAACCACATATGGTCAACAATCGTTCTCTTATAAAGCAGTGAGCCTTTGGAATACTCTTCCAAATGAAATTATCTCTTGCACTAACTATAGCATATTTACAAGCCTGACCAAACAGTGGTTATTAACAAAGCAAACCTGTACGCACTGAATGACTGCGATACGAATGATGTAATCTGTGAATGAATAAGTTATAGATTCCTGTAGTAGAGAGTGTTATGATGTGAGTGAAGTGATGCTTCTGTGTATTATAATTCTGTACATATTTTTTAAATTTTGTAAGTATATCATCAACCTGTCCAGGGACTGCAGGCGGAAATTAGCATTTTTGCTATAACCTGGCACATGACATCTCTTCTTTCTTAGATTAATGTTTTTTTGTGCATTGTCCCTGATCAAATAAATAAATAAATTCAAATTCAAATCCAGAGACTGCAGGGTCACATGACCCACAGGCGGGACGTCTGCCATTATATATTTTAAACAATAATATCTTAGTGAAAACTTGAAGTAATATTAACAAACAATATATCATTTGAAAGCTTGCTGACTGATTTTCAAAATAAATTACAGAGGAGCAGCAATTTATCAATTTGCACCCAGAATATTTAATACTCATTAGGCATGTTCAGGCCTTTATTTTGAAATATGAACATGAAAAATCAAGAAAGATTGGTAGAGTCTCGTTTTCAAGCCAACAGTTCAAAAGATAAAACCAATTTAATTTTATGAGGAAAAAAAGGTCTGAAAAGTTTTTAAATATAAAGAATCAATGGATATGTATAAAAAACAGCCTGGATTCTAGATGTGTGATGCGGCGGCGAGCTGTAACGCACATACGTGTTTTTATGCGTTTATTAGAGGTTGAATTCTAATCAAATCAAATATTCCTTCTGAATAGGATAGGGTTAGGGTCTACTTCATAAATTGTATGAAAATTATTGAAATAAATGGTTCAGATCACTCAAAACACATGGAAATGGAGGCGCTCTTATATGGTCAGAAACAGAGCTTGGAGTTCATAGTGAAAAGGTTTGATACTGCGCCCAAACTAAACCTCACTGAAAGCTCATTTGTTGAGAAATCAACCTAACATTTGGAACACAACTTGGCTTTGATTTTCTTACAGTTTTAAAGTAAAACATGTTTTGTAAAATATATATTTTATATACTTTTTCATAAACTCAAACTTCTATATTTTTTTTTCTGTTTCACTTTCATTATTTTCACTTCTACAATAATCTTCCACATGTCTTCTTTAAAACAAGAGCAGCCATAGGCCTTTATTCCAAAGCATTCTTGAATTACAACCATTTAAGTTTGGACAGTGATGTTCATCTCTATGCGATAAAAGAGGAGTGACAGTGAAGTGTGTAGTTCAACTCTTTTCTTCTGCACTTCTGTGTCACATCTGTTCCAATAAGAGGACTGAAAAATTATTGTAGTGATTTAATGCTCATTTATTTGACTCTCGAGGATCTGAATCTGTTGTTGTTCTCCTGCAGATCTACAGCCGAAGCCTGAACTCACATCAGATCCTGCAGGAGCTGCACTGACTGGAAACACAGTGACTTTGACCTGTCGCATGGATCCGTCCACTGGAGACTGGGACTCTTACTGGTACAAACACACACTGAACCCTGAGACAGAGAAGAAGAAAACACACTCCTACAGCCTGAAGATTGATTCAGTGTCTGATGGAGGCCAGTACTGGTGTAGAGCTGGAAGAGGGAAACCAGTCTATCACACACAATACAGTGATGCACTGTGGGTAAATGTTACAGGTGACAGAGACTGTAGTGTGTGATGCAACAAATACAGATCAGAGATAATATCTACACAACTTCTGAAACTATAAATGCAATAATCTGTGTTTGTTCAGTGAGTCCTAAAGCTGTGGTGACGGTACGACCTGATGAACGAGTGTTTAGAGGAGAAACAGTCACTCTCAGATGTGATATAAAGTGGGCAGGAGACACTGAGTGGACATACAGATGGGAAATAGAGGGAACCAACAACTGGGATAGAAACTCTGCCAATCGATGTACAGAACAACACTGCTGCACCAGTGGAGCTGATGAACAGAAACACAGAAATGCTGTCAGTCTGTGCTCAAGACAAGAGTTGAACATCAGCAGTGTTGATCTCTTTCACAGCGGTAAATACACCTGTACAGGACAGATACACACTCTCAGCTCTCAGCGCAGTGATGCTGTTACACTGACTGTATCAGGTGAGTTTGTGTGTGTTGTGATCAGCTTCTCCATCAGTTTCTCTACGGCTCTGTAACTCATGATGTTTTGTTCAGCTGAAGCTCAGGCATCACTGCGAGTGTCTCCACAGCCGTGGCTGACTGAAGGAGAATCAGTGACTCTGATCTGTGAGGTTTCAGGCTCCTCTACAGGCTGGACGTTCAGCTGGTTCAGAGATCATGATCATCTGTCAGACAGCAGCAGAGGAGCTGGAGGATCTTACACTCTCAGTCCTGCTGCTCTACAGCACACAGGAGTTTATACGTGCAGAGCAGAGAGAGGACGACCAGCCTATTACACACACAACAGCAGCTCACACACACTGTGGATCACTGGTGAGGGTTTATGCTTGTGCTCATCCGCATCTGTGTTTCACTGCAGTCTCTGTGCTGTCAGTTCTGATGGAGATTTTCCTCTTTTCAGGAGTTTCTGCTTCAGTGTCTCTGGTCATCAATGCCAGCAGAAGTCAACACTTCTCCTCTGACTCTCTCTCTCTGAGCTGTGAGGATCAGAGTAACTCTGCTGGATGGACAGTGAGAAGATACACAGACAAACACACACAAACTTGTGCAAAACAAACAGGATCTCGATGTGTAATCGACTCTCTCAGCACATCTGACACTGGAGTGTACTGGTGTGAGTCTGAATCTGGAGAGAAACGTCGTCCTCGAAACATCACTGTACATGGTGAGTCCAATCACTCTTACAACTATATAACATAATAAACAACAGTCTGTTTAAGACTAAAAATTATTATAATTGAGAATTCAGTCATGTGTTTATCCATTAAACTAACTGAAAATATCAGATTTATTTTCACCCAACACATTGAATATCTATAATAAAACAAAATACACTACATTATCATTAAGTATTTGATTAATATATATAATAACCCTTATATGTTGCAATAACCCTTGTGAACGTGAATAAAATGTAATTTATTCCTGTGATCGAAGCTGAATTTCCAGCATCATTACTCCAGTCTTCAGTGTCACATGATCCTTCAGAAATCAGTATAATATGATGATTTGATGCTCAAAAAACATCTCTGATTATTATCAATGTTGGAAACAGTTTGTGCTGCTTCATATTTTTGTGGATTTTTTTTCTTTTTCTTTGATCAATAGAAAGTTTGAAGAAAATAATTTATTTGAAATATAAATATTATGTAACATTATAAATGTCTTTTTGATCAATGCGTCACATTTGATAATGAATTCTTGCTGAATAAAAGTATCAGTTTCTCAGATTAATGATAGTGAACATTTTGACCCTCCACATCTTATTAATAATTGAAGTATGTCTCTGATTAATACAGCCTGTATCATCACTACCAGCTGTTGATGATATCTTGTGTTTGTAGACGGTGAGGTGATTCTGGAGAGTTCTGTTGATCCTGTGATTGAGGGAGAGACTCTGACTCTACACTGTTTACATCGATCTACAAACTCCCCGATCCTCAGCGCTGATTTCTATAAAGACGGATCACTGATCCAGAATCAGACGACAGGAGAGATGAGCATCACTACTGTCTCAAAGTCACATGAGGGTTTCTACTCCTGTAAAACAGAGAGAGGACAGTCTCTCCACAGCTGGATCTCAGTTACTGAAGTCTTTAACGGTGAGATGATTTAATGAGAAACGCCACACCATTATTATATACTCTTATTTCTGCTTGAGTTATTCAATAAGTGTATCCTTCTTCTGTGTAAAATTATTATACATACCAATGCAGTTTGATTATGGCCTGTAAGATCGCAGTCGGACACTATCAGCCCCGGCTGGCCGTTTCCAGCCCTCGCTCGTACTGGCTCCACAGTCGAAATGCGGCTAATAATTTCTGACTGGCATAAAACTGTACAAATCAAACAAACATAAACGGGTAAAGGCAGAGAGCAGTCAAACTCAATGGGAAGTCCGGCCTTGATCACAGATCCCATCAGGTCATCTGTAATGGATCTGCTTGTTACACTCTTTGAACACCAGGTGGTGTTGTGAGCAAATGGAGCTCGAGAAATGAACCCTTTTGTGAACCACTTGGCTGAAAAGCTTCAACGCTTCATGAGGCTTCATCTCGCCACCACTAACATTTATTGAAAGGGTAATCCACAATCGAAGTCCATAAACAGGCAAAGGTCATACACAAGCAAACAATAACCGAGTTCAGGGCTGAGGCGACCAGAGAAATCCCACTGAACAGGCAGAGAATCAGGAAAACCAGGAGACAAAGTTTTAGAAATACAGTTAAGACAAATGCAACACTTAGCAATGAATGACTGAATTGTCCAGGCTTATAAAGGGTGAGCTAACAAGATTAATGAGACACAGCTGAAAACAATGAGTGCTGATGAGTCCGGGCAAAGGATTATGGTTAGGTGTCGGTTTCGGTGGGGCGGTGGGTACGCGTCCCCACCAGATTTCGTCAAGAGTCATTTTGTACCAAACACTGTTTTTTTGAGAACCTCGAGCTCGATTTAGCCGTTCTGCTGCTGCGCTGCTACACACTTCTCTGTTTATCACACTGCAACAACTGTAGCATTGGGACACGTTCTAGGTTTAGGGAGTGGAGGTCGGCACGCCAGAGGGAACTTGTTACTTTGATTGGAATCCCCCGTGTGGGAATCGCACATGATTGGACATTCTTAAACGCTTAAAACGTTGAGGTGCAGATCTTAAAGGGTAACTAAACCCCTGGTCAGAGCCTGACTCCACCCACTGGCAATATTTGAAAAATGCTGGAAAAGTGGGCAGAGCCCAGCAGAGATAGAGGGGACGAACCGAGGGCAGGGCTGAGCGGGGGGTCGTGCAACTGAGACCCGCAGTGACGGATTATTTGACAGCTGCTGTCAGACACGCTAAAAATATCTATATCTAAATAAAAAATAAAAAAATCTAGCAAAACGCGCCGGCGCGTTTGTCGACACCAGAGGGTTAACATTAGCCTATTAGGAAGGAACATAAATTGTGATTAAAAATATATGCTCACTCACATCATGACGATGGTGGAGTCCATGCAGGAGGAGCAGCGTTTGGCACTGCGTCGCTTTTCAGCGCGAGCTGTGTGGAGAAGCCCAATTCCACCTCCATTGGGTTGGAGAAACAATCCCGCATAAGATGCAGTTTGCACACTCGAGCGATAGGCGGGAACTCGCGGTCTTCCAGGCCAAGTGCATGCAACCACTGTATCTCTATCCTGATCGTTTTCAATACTCGCAATTCCAACTCCTGACTCGCTACTGTGGTTTTGACGAAACAAGATGATTTTCATACTGCCACGGGCGTGGTAGCTCGTAGTACCAAGGGCGTGGTGAGCTGGAACCTGCTTACGTCACCAACAACCGCAAACATCCAATAGGAAAATTCAAGTGCAGTAGCCACCGTTCAACCTGAAGAGGGCAGCACTCTTTAAATTAAAACACTTGTCGAAATGTCAAAAAAGTTACTCGAATCAATGAACAGCACTAATAAAGTCCCATTCTTAGATCATTAACTAAAAAAAGTTGGTTTAGGGTTTAGTTACCCTTTAACGTGAAAAAGCTTTACGTGGCTTAATGTACCTAAACAACGATCACCAAATTTCTCTCTCATATTGCTCATCATAACCACTTAAAACTGTCAAAAAATCTAACCAGGAATTTGGTGATCACTGATTGTCGTTTATGTACATTAAACCGTTAAGCTTTTTCCTACAATAGCCTCAATGAAGCAGAAACGCTTAATGTCAGATAACATCCATAATAATTGGACTTTGGGTTCGATTTTTTGAGTTTTCAGTGGTTATGAGGAGCAATATGAGAGAGAAATGTGGTAATCGTTGTTTAGGTACATTAAACCACGTCATGTCATATTGTCAACATGGCACTTATGAAGCAGAATAGTGGATCATATGTCTAATGCTTCTTCAAAACTTAAGGCTTTCTTCTTCATAAAATGAATCGGACATCATCACATTTTTGTATACATTTGTATTTACATTAGTAAGCTACAGGACATCGTCTTTCAAAACATGAGCTGCGCGAAAAAGAAAAAAAATAGTGTGTCATTGTACCAGCACTTCTGAAAATGCACTTCCGAATGCGTCTCTGTCCCCAGCACATTTCAGACCAAACTGACGTCCATGGATTATGAAGTCCATGACAGAGTGGCACTAGTCTGGGATTGAGTGACCTCTGGTGGCTATCAATACAATTAAATAAAACTTAAATAAAATTAATAACTTATATACTATTCTGTCATTATTTACTCACCCTCATATCAGTCCAAACATACATGACTTTCTTTATTATGTGGAACATAAAATAAGTTATTTGGAAAAAATGTATCTCTTTTTGTCCATACAATGGAAATGAAAAAATCCTTCGAAATATATTATTTTGTTCCACACAAAAAATAAATCAAATTCCGGCAGAATATGAATTTTTAAATGATCTATTCCTTTAATACAGAACTCTAAAAGGGAAATGGTGGTGGAATAATATGAGACAGTAAAAATATTTCAAAGTTTTTTTATTCACTCACACAACTTTGTTGCTCAATAATGTTCTTGTGTTTCTGTTTTTCAGGTCAGATTTCTGTCTTCAAAATCCTCAGTTTTCTTCTGGCAGCTTCTCCGTATCTGCTAGCGACAGTCGTGCTGCTTTTCAAATGTTAGAGAGCGAGAGGTAAAACTTCAGTCTCACACACACACACACACACACACACACACACAAGCACACTCTCTCTCTCTCTCTCTCTCTCTCTCTCTCTCTCTCTCTCTCTCTCTCTCTCTCTCTCTCTCTCTCTCTCTCTCTCTCTCTCTCTCTCTCTCTCTCTCTCTCTCCCAAATTATTCACATATTCTCTCACTGACAGATATGCCTTTACAGCCTGTCTTGTATTATATAGATCTATATTTGAACAGAGGATGGTCATTCATGAAAGCAATAACTGCAGTGGAAATTAAAAATAAAATAAAAAATAAGACATGTCCGTTTAAATGT